AGTGCATACTTCATATTCAGAAATATATTTCAATATCACAATATTTAATATATTCCAAAATGTGGATTGGAAAATGTTATTTTAAAACTATAAATCGGTAGAATTTTCATTGACATCATGTTTTTTGCACACAAAAAATTCATTCACAATTTTATTTTTTACAGAAATATAAATATTAAAAAAAAAAGCTACTGTAAATATTCATTTTTTCTTAGTTCAGAAGACAAAAAACATAAAATTTTTAAAATGTCATTTTAAAATTTATAATACAATCCTATTAATAAAATTTTGCTAATTGCAACATATTTACAAGAATTATGTTTACAATGGCAATATATTTATAAATGCATAAAAAGCAATACATTTACAATAAATTTTAAAACTATGAAAATCAATAAAATCTTTAAATAACCTTATATTAAAACGGATGAATTTTAAAACTAATGAATTCCTCAATAGAAAAAAAAAATGTTATTTGATCATGATACGTAATTTTTTAAAAAAAACATCAGTTGATGTAAATCAACTAAACTTACAAACCATAACTGAATTATCTGATTAACATGAAAAAAAACTGAAAAATAAAATGAACATTCAAAAAAAAATTACAAATTGAAATCAATAAACTTCTACAAAAACTAACAGATCTTATACAAAATACATATCTACAATAGCAAACTAATCATTAAATTTTAATAAGGACAAAATAACAAAACTATATATTGAGACATACATTACCTTTTGAAATAAAGCTTCTTCCAAATTAAATTCCATTTTCTCAAAATGTCACACATGATGAGGTTATGTGATCTTCCAAAAGAATCTGATCCAAAATTTTGAATTTCCGCTCATAGTTATTTTTCATAACCTGAAAATTAAAATTTCTCATTAATTCAAAGTATAAATTACTAGTCTAAAAAAAAATAGATTATTCAGGGATATATCACAAAATTGATATTGTTGGATAATCAGAGGATCTTTTGAAGCCGAATTTTTAAGTGTAAGCAAAATTTGTAAGTAAATCTTATTACAAATTCTGAAGCTTCTGAGATTTTTGAAGCAGAATTTGTAAGTAAATCTTAAAGTGATGATCTTTTGAAGCAGAATTTTTAAGTGTAAGCAGAATTCGTACATAAATCTTATTGCAAATTCAGAAGTTTCCGAGGTTTTTGAAGCAGAATTTGTAAGTAAATCTTATACTAAATACATTTCTACAATAGCAAACTAATAATTAAATTTTAATAAGCAACAAAATAACAAAACTATATATTGAAACACATATTGCTTTTCAAAATAAAACCTTTCTTCCAAATTAAACAATCCATTTTCTCAAAATGTCACACATGATCAGGATATGTGATCTTCTAAAAGAATCTGATCCAAAATTTTGAAATTTCCACTCATAGTTATTTCTCATAACCTGAAAATTTAAATTTCTCATTATAATTCAAAGCATAAATTACTAGTTTTAAAAATAAAAAAAATAGATTATTCACAGATATATCACAAAATTGAAATTGTTGGATAATTGGAGGATCTTTTAAAGCAGAATTTTTAAGTGTATAAACTATGAATAAAATTACTAAAACTAAATAATAACTATAAAGTAGTTTTAAAAAAAATTTTGTTTGAGTATTCTATTATAAACAAGAATATAATACCAGAAGTACCAAATTTCCAAACTAGCTATCAGTAATCAAAAGTACAGTTACATAGAAATGTACAGTTAACGTTTAAGGATACTGTTTGGTTATCCGAGTACGAGCTTTTTTCTTTTTTATTGAATTTTCATTTTGATTTATTTTAATTTTCATAATTCATTTTCATTTTTAATTTATTTCCCTAAAATTTATTTATATCCCCCAAAACTTCGTTCATGCAATCAAACATATTCTTCTTCCCCATTATAAAAGTAATAACATTAACCCGATTGCTGAAATATATTCTACCTTTAATAATTACACAAACAGGTTCTTATTCACATGCGAATTTTTATTTAAGTGCAGTGAAAATGGTCCACTGGCAAATAAGCATAATATGCACGAATGTGTGAATGTTGTTCGCAGAAAATTTGTTACCATCTCAGAAATCTTTTTACTAGGTATATCATACATTAGAAAAAAATTATCTACATTTTCTTATTTTTATCTGCAATTATGTCATTGCAGATTTGATTTTCAGGCATGCTGGTACAGTATAATAATCAATATAAAGCTTTATAAAAAAAAAACTAAATAGTTTCGTTTAAAAAAATCAGTGGTTTTCAAATTTCACCGAAATAGATTTCATCGAAAATTCCGACATGGGTTGGAACCAGCTTCAAGAGTTAGTTAATATTGCGATAAAGTTAAGAGTTAATTATTATTACCAGCAGAAAATTTATTAATTGAGATTTTATTATCGCAGAAAGTTTTTGTCTTCATCCAAGTCTGCCCATTAGAGTTTAGCCCTTGATAAAGAGCCTGAATTAACTCGATCAGATGTGAGCGATAAGAGCTTGTGCTTACTTACCAATAACCCTAACAAGCAGCCTCTATCAACACAACTGAAAAAAGAAATGTCAAAAGCACAAAAAGTACAATACTGTCAATCTCTCCTCCCCAGGCTGAGATAGCCTGGTTGGTAGGACACTGGATCCATGTCCAAGAGGTCGTGGGTTTGATCCTCGCGGGCCGAAGACTCCCCGTGTAGTAAATGGTGACTGATGCACGTTAAATCTATTAGGTCGCAAAGTCCTCCATGTTCCCATAACAAATCAAACCTCTGGGGGTACTGATCCAGGAGTTTCCTTGTCTTATGGATTGGTTCAAAATTACAAGGATACGGAGTTGAACGTTAGTAGTCGTAAATCCAAAAAATTGGGTTGGCTGTTCAACGACGGTTATAATATAAAATAAAATCTCTCCTCTACAAACATATGTGGTACAAGTTCAGTATTATTTCATATTTCTAACACAAAATGACAGTTGGTTATTAATTCTTAAATCTTTTTAGGGCCAACCCAACAATCACCATCCTCCCACAGCGGAAAAATTTTTCTCTCTGTATGCATACAGTGTCCACCCTAAGCATTTTTTAAGAGTGGCCCGCCCTGCGTGTCTTTTGATGACAAGCCCCCATCCCTTGAAAGCACTGCTTTTTTATTCATATTCAGTTTTGAATCAAAATTAACTCACTGTTTAATTAATAATTACACACTGATAAAATTTTTTGTAATAGGTTTAATAGAAGGTTGTATATCTATTTATAGGTTTAGTTCTGATTACTATTACAATTATTTACTTTATTAGGATTTTTCTCAACCCTGTGGCAATATTGCTTCGAGCAATCTGCGAAAATTATTTACTTTATTAGGATTTTTCTCAACCCTGTGGTAGAATTATTTCGAGCAATCTGTGACAATTATTTACTTTATTAGGATTTTTCCCAACCCTGTGGCAGAATTGTTTCAAACAATCTGCGACAAACTCTCTAGCACTAATATTTTTAATAATAACAAACATATATGTTACTAATTTAAAGAAGCAAAAGTGCAAAAAAAAACTAATATTTTTTAATTGAATGCATGAAAAATTTTTATTCTAATATCATGGGTGAAATTCTTGTATTTTGTTGGGGCGGGGAGCACAAGTTATTTTCCTCTTCGAATTTTGTAAATAATCATCTCTATAAAAAAAAAATTTTAAAAAAAGAATGAAATCCATAAAATCGTCGAAAAAATGAAGAAATCATGCGAATCAGACTCCTCAAATGAGTGTTTCCGTTCGAGATTAGATTGTTGTAATAAATTATATCAAAAAAATATCGGATTTAAGAACTATGGAGAAATCAACAGCAATAACTGTCCCAAAAATTCGATTCAATTATTGCTTTAAAAAGTAAATATTCAAATGCATGATTCAAATTTTCCATATTGTTTGAAATATATCAGGATATTTATATATTTCAAACAATACGGGAAAATTAATATGAAAAACTGCCGAAAAACTTTCTGCAAGAGCTCTAACCTTCTGCGAAAATGTTGTCGTGTCACTGTGATTCTGCCACGGAGATTCTCAAATGGATAAATTTTTATAAGTATCTTTTTTAGATTCTGCCACGGAGATTCTTAACTGGTTAAATTTTTATAAGTATATTTTTAGAGAAGGTATTAATACATCTTATGTGATTTTAAAATTTAAAACTACTTTTTTTTAACAAATACCTTTAAAAAAGAAAAAAAATTTTAAATGTTCATATTCTCACAATTTTCAGCATTAACTATAGAATAGAGCTTTCAAGTTGTTTCGTTTGAAACATACTTTGTGATTTTAAATGAAGTCCTCTAATAAATTCCAATTGTTTTGTTTGTCAGAAAGTGGTAGAAGTTTTGATTTTGGGTTGTATTGATTATCTAACCTTTGCAGCTTCTCAAGTAAAAAAATAAAATATGAAACAATTGAAGCTAAATTTACAGAAGAAAGGGGCAAAAAATTAGAACTATTGTACATTGCTCTAAAATGCAAAAAAAAATTTTAAAAATACTAATGAAAATAATTTTGTTTGCTTTTTTTCACATATGTCCCACTTTATAAATTGTTAAAATGAAATACATCACATTTTGTTAAGAAAGTGAAAAATCTAGTTTAATATGTAAATTTCAATTACCAAAACATGTATTTTTCTATTATACATTTTTGTTGTCACTGGTGCTGAACATGGAATTTTATATAATCTACCTAAAATTTTCTTGTATATTTAAATTAATTATAGACAATAATAAAAACATGTAATGTTAAAAACCTATTGAAATTTCATGCTGATACACAAGATATGGACTTAATTATATAGCTACTAATATACTTTCAACATTTGAATACTTAAACAAGGTTTTGAAATGCAGTTAAGATATTAAAAATTAAATTTTCATTAATTAATCCAATTAATACCATGAAAAAATTAATTAAAAAAAAAACAAACATTAAATAATATGGTGTAAAATTGGAGAAATGAATGAAACCTTTTTTACTCACTTAACCTTTATTTGAAATAATTATTCCACAGTATTGAACTATGCTGATAAAGACTTGGATGATATCACAGAAAAATAGTAAACGAAGATCATTTACAAAAATTTACACAATGTAGCAAACTAACAGTTCAACTTAACAGTTCACCAGTCATTTGTTTTCTTCCGCAGAAGCCTGTTCCTGCATTTGTTGTTGTTTCTGAGCTTCTTCAACAACAGCTGGTTTCTGAATAGTAATCGGTACAACTCGTTCATTTTTAGGAGGAGGCTCTAGCTGTTTCCTGGGTGCTTTGATGGTCAGAATTCCATCCTGGCTGAGAGAAGTGACCACTTTATCGGGCTCGACATCATCAGGTAGTTTGTAGCGTCTGGTAAATTCTCTGGAAACAAAACCATGTTCATCTGCTTGCTCCTCGTGTTTTCCACGAACAACAACATAATCGTCAACGGTTTTAACGTCAATTTCGTCGGGTCTGAAATGTTTGACGTTTAACATCATTTTGAAGTTGTTGGAATCATCAGTTGACGAAGTGCTGGTTTGACGTCGAGGTTGAACAATGTTCAGATGTATATGAGCTGGTTGAAAATAGTCGTCAAACAGTCCTAATCTAGGTGATCGCAGTTCAAAGGGATCGTAGAGGTCACGAAGAATTCGAGAGGCCAACATGTTGAGAGATCACAAAACAATTTGTCAAACTCACTGAGCAATGCAGAAATATCTTAGATTTTAAAACAGAACTATAGCAACCGCAGTTTAAACTCACAGAGTAATTCACAGTTAGCTTAGACTCAAAACTGTCAGGAAATAATAATAACAACAGCAAGATTCTATCACCAAATCTAACACTTTCCTGAAATTCGGCAGTTTAAATATGGTGTTTACATCCGCTTCGGAGTTTTCTAGAGAGAAGACGATTTTACTGGAGAATTCTCTGAACTCTCATTGGTTAGTCTACAGAGTAAAGGTTACCATACATGGATGAACGCCTGTTGCTTGTTTGGCGAAAGTAAAGAAAGCCAAACGAAGAAAATTCTAATTTATTTATTTTTACAAAAATGAATTTTTTTTATAAGCTTACAAAATAAATAAGCTAATACAATGTACGCTAAATATCTAAATAATAATTTATATGAGATAGTGATTTTTATTTTTGAATGCTGCTTATGTTAAGTTCAAAAACTATAAATTAAATTCAATTTAATTCAGCAATCGAAATATAAATTAATTACATGAATATAGTAAAAAAATTTTAAAAAATTCTTTGGTGAGAAAATTGTAAGTTTGAAATGCTAAATTTCACTCAATTAAATATTGTTCAAGCTTCATTTATGATCACTTTGGAAATTTATGAAAGAGTAATATTGCTAAAAAATTTGTGAAAAACATTATTTGTTGTTTTCTGTGTTTATCTGCGTACAAACCACACACACATACACAAAAAAAAAAAAAAAAAAAAAAAAAAAAAAAAAAAAAAAAAAAAAAAANGAAACATAAAGATTTCACAAAGTCAAGCTTTTACAATACATTTTAGCTTTTTAATTTGGCTATTTTTACATTCTATCATTTATTTATACAGTTATTCAAGAAACATTAAAACTTAGCATTTTTCATTTTAATGCAACATTTCATTCTCTGTAAAATTGGAACGTACGTCACAAGAAAAAAAATTTTTTTATGTAAATAATACATTTAATAAACTTTATTGATAAATTCAAAATAATTATAAATAATAATTCATTCATTTTAATGTTCAAATCGAATAATAATTCAAATAATGCTTTATTAAAATATAATAATAAATTCGCAGAAAAATCAAATGATTACTATTTTAATGTCGAGTAAGCTTGAGATTATAAGTAGGACACTGTTTTTACAACAATTATAATCTCTTTTCCCAACACTGTTAAAAAAAAAAAGTTTAAAATTTTTGTTTTCAGTAATTCATATTTTTATATTATACCTGAAAAATGATTTTAAGGCTTTCCATTAGAAATTACTTATTTATCCTTCCTTATATTTTATTACTATCTTTTTATTTAAAAAATTATAAATAATTATAAGAAAACTCAATTTTGAAATTAAAGTATTAAAAATTTAGAAACACAAATAGTTAATCTCTTGAATACTTAAAAATTGATTTCTTTTCGAAAGCTTTTTAATCATAGCTTTACAAAGTTGTAATACATAATTATATAATTATCTTAAATCAATTAAATTAGGTAGTCACTTCTTGATTTTATATAAATATTAAAAAAAAATTCCATATTTTTAATTATTTTTATTTTTTTTAATTTTCGAATAAAAAGTAAAAATATTATTCTACAAACAGTTTCCATGTTGAAAACAAAAGAAACAAATTAAAATCTTCCAACTAATTTAAACATGAAAGTTTTGAAAAATTAAGAAAACATTTTTTAAACTAATTTATTTAATTGCATTTTTTTAATTGAATTGCTAAAAATAATTTTTCAAATGATAATTATTGTTATTATTTAATGTTCACTTTAAAGCATATTGCTATGTTCATTTTATGAGGTTACCAATATACCATGGTGATTATTTTTGACTCGCAAAGCTGTAAGAAAATTTTACAGCCTAAAAAAGTTCCTTTGATCATGAAAATAAGTAAATAAATAAAATAAGAAACTATCTCAAATTTGTCTGTTTTTGGCATTTTTTTTCTAATTAGAATACAAAAATTTATATTCAGATTATGAACATTTTTTAAACAAAATTTTACCTAAAATAGACAGTTATTTTCTCATTAGGTTAAATTTCTCGTGTGTTTCAAATGTTTTTTTGTTTGTTTTTTTAAAAAAAAGAAAGAATGAAAAGAAGTTTTAATTGAATATCAAAATATACTAAAAAAGCGAACTCGTTATGCCAAAAAGGCGATAAAAGGCCAAATCACTGACAAAGAGCAGAAGAGAAGTTTATGGAACGCCTTCGAACTTTCACGCTGTTTCCATGGTAACATCTCGTTCGCTGGAGAAAATTCTGGATAACAGCTGAGAATATAAAACAAAGCGTTACGTTGTTTTGACAGTTCAGAGATCATAGCGTGATAGTTGGCTGTCAAATTTCTTCCAGTGAATTTATTGCTGTGCTGTTTAAAAGCGAATCTTTTGGAGTTATTATTCATTTCTTCGCTTGTTTACTTTGATATTTGAAAATGGCCTACTCTCTATTGCCTTTGTTGTCCCGTCGCTCTTGGTGGGATAGTTTTGATTATCCAGCAACACTTCTTGACCAAAACTTTGGAATGGGTCTGATGGATTCTGATTTATTGCCACCACGTCTCTATCGTGGATATTTGCTTCGACCCAGGACCCAGCTGAACTTAGATTCTTCTGGACAGTCCGAAGTCAAGAACGATAAAGATAACTTCGAGGTGAAATTGAATGTTAGCCACTTCAAGCCTGATGAAATAAGTGTGAAAACTGTTGATAATACTGTTGTTATTCACGGAAAACACGAAGAAAAGACCGACGAACACGGATTCATTACCAGAGAGTTTACTCGACGCTACATGTTGCCCGATGGAACCGAACCTGAGACCGTGAAGTCTTCTCTTACTCCAAATGGAATTTTGGTCATCGAAGCTCCTAAAAAAGCCATTGAACCACCTCCAACTGATGAGAAAATCATTCCAATTACTATTCAGAAGCCTGAGGGTAATTAGAACTTTTAGAGACTTTATATTTAATGAACTGGAATATTTGATGTTCTAATAACTAGGTGTTATTAATAGTATTACCTATTAGGAATTATAATACCCGTTTGGAATTATAATACCTGTGATAAAGCATTATGTTGTCAACATCATTCTGTAAGTAATCTCATATTTGTAAACATTGAACGTTCGTTAATAAATTTAATTGAAATTATTTTTGATGTCTTTATTTGCATTTTTGAAACATAAAATTTTTATATGTATAATGTTAACGTAATTAGAAATTTAGTATTTATGAAGTAGTTAATTTCAAATTAGAATTTGAAATATTTGATTTAGTTTTATTACGTAAGAATTGTTAAGATTACTGTAAATTTATATTAGCAATGAGAAATTCTGTTTTATTTTGAATATAAATCTGCTTAATTTGATAATCCGATTAGATAAGTTATTGATTATAAATGCTAAAACTTTTTACAAGTATTCTGAAAAGTATTAAAATTGCAGTGTTGAATACTGTTAAAAGAATTTCAATTTTTAATAGATAAGATAATTTTCATTTAAGTTTTTTTTTCTTTTTCAAGTTGAAGAAGTTAATGTTAATAATTAAAAATTGTTTTATTTAATAAAATTTTAAGATAAATTAAATATTAGACAATGTTAAAAGTTGTAGGGTTGGAGGCTATGTTTATTTACAAATTAATTTTTTATACAAAGTTCAATGAACTTGAAATATTTATATTTGTTAATATTTTTTAATCTTCTGCTCTATTTCTTTAAGTTTGGCATTTTTAAATTGCTTTACTATTAGTATGAAAATTTAAAATTTTTAATAAAAATGTTCTTATATTTTCAAAATTATTAAGCTGCTAATCTCAAATAAGAAAACTTCATAGCACTTAGATAAAAT